ACTAAAGGATCAAAGGAAAGCATCACCACCACCAGCACTGATGATGATAGGAAAGATGATTTCACTCCTGATAGTAGTTTCAAGAAACTGAGAATGCTTGATGTGTTTGCTGGCTGTGGAGGTTAGAGTATACTATTGTATAAGAGATACATGCTTTTCTAATTTTGACCAAACTTGATCATATACTTACATGTGTATCATTGTAGGATTATCTGAAGGTTTTCATCAAGCCGGAGTAGCTGATTCATGTTGGGCAGTTGAGATTGATGAGCCAGCTGCTCAAGCTTTCAGACTAAACTACAGTCAAACAACAGTATTCACTGACGACTGTAATATACTGCTTAGTTTAGTAATGGAGGTAATATAAAGACGGATAGAGAGAAGGGAAGATGAATGGATAAATCAAACAATGTTTATAAGGAAAGAATAATAAGTAAACAATGTTTATAATGAAGTACCGTATAGCCACAAAGTTTCGAGGCAATAAACTTTCGCGAATCAGGCCACAAGTCTTTTTTCGCGAATTAACTCTCGCGGTTCTTGTTTTAAAGCACACGTGTTTATGGGCAATACGGATATTTCACGGAATTAACTTTCGCGAATACGGAAAATCCGTGAAAACAGCGAAAGTTGTACCCTCGAAATTAAGCGGCTATACGGTATACGTGATGTACAGTGCTTTTCTTTTTTTCTTATTTGTTGTTAGGGTGCTAAAACTAACTCCAGAGGTCAGTCCTTGCCTCAGAAAGGTGATGTTGAGTTGTTGTGTGGTGGACCTCCTTGTCAGGGATTCAGTGGAATGAACAGATTTAATTCGAGAGAATATTCTCAATTTAAGGTTAACACTATTCCCACTAGTACTTGATTCCATTCTCAATGCATTTTATGCATGTATTAACACGTTTTTAACGCTACCTTAACCTCTTGTAGAATTCACTTGTCATCTCTTATTTAAGTTTTTGTGAGTATTATCGTCCTCAATTCTTTCTACTTGAAAGTGTCCGTAATTTTGTGTCCTTCAAAAAGAGCATGGTTCTTAAACTAACACTGCGCTGTCTAGTAAAGATGGGCTATCAGGTTTGTTACTATTAATATAACTGTTACTAAAAATAGCAATCTTTATACTGTTTTATTTTAGTGTACATTTGGTGTCTTGCAAGCTGGTCAATATGGAGTACCTCAGACAAGAAGAAGGTAAGTTATTTTGCTTTATCTACTAGCAATACATGTACATGCAATACAATACATACCTAAGCAATACATGTGTGGGTGTGCATATTTATTTATTATATTCATTTTTTAGAGCTATTATACTTGCAGCTGCCCCAGGAGAGAAGCTCCCTCACTTTCCTAACCCAACTCATGCATTCAGTCCAAGGGTCTGTCAATTAACTGTAGTGGTCAATGACATTAAGGTAGGGCCACTCTTTGGAGTGAATGACATGAGCTTTAGTCTCCTAGTATGAGGGGAGTATAAGAATGGACTCAGCTCCCTACAGGACAATTACTGTCAGAGACTCGATGTCAGACCTGCCTCACATTAAGAATGGATCAGCTGTACGCTCCATGAACTATAATGGAGAGCCACACTGTCACTATCAGAGACTGGTGAGGGGAAAAATCACACAAGTCCATGTTCACCTTGTATTTGGGAGTCTTTATGTTTATTAATGTTTTTTAGATGCGTGGTAATCAGCACCAGCCAGTGTTGTATGATCACATATGTAAAGAGATGAATCCATTGGTTGCTGCCCGTATGAGGTACATACCAATTGGGCCTGGATCAGACTGGAGGGACCTTCCTAATAAATGTATTAGACTCTCTGATGGAACTACTGTACCCAAACTGTAAGCAACTTGTGCAATCTAATGATCCACTAATTATACTTTCTTCTCTCTCTCTCTCTCTCTCTCTCCCAGTCAATATAGTCATCATGATAAAAAGAATGGGAGAGCTAAGAATAAGTCATTAAGAGGTGTCTGTTCCTGTGCCACTGGTCAACCTTGTGACTCTTCTTGCAGGCAGTATGGGACCCTTATACCATGGTGCTTACCACATACAGGTAGAGAATAAACTGAATTATTACTAGAGCTGTAACAAATATC